CCGTAGCCTACTTTGCCACGACATTTTAAGTGCTCATCCAGATGCTTCTTAAATGTTGCCAGAGTAGCGGCCCCAACCACCCCCTCAGGCAGCACATTCCATATTTCTCTGGGTGAAAACATTTTTCCTCAGATTTCTTCTAAACCACTTTCTCCTTACCTTAAACTTATGCCCTCTCTACTATGCATGTCTGCCATGGGGAAAAGATTGTCATGATCTACTCTGTCTATGCCTTTTATAATTTTATATACATCAATCAGATCCCCCCTCAGCCTCAGAAAACAAACCCAGCCTATCCAGTCTGTCATCGTAACTGAGACTTTCCATCCCAGGCAACATGTTGGTGAATCTCCTCTGCACCCTGATTGATTGGTTTGATGTATTGTCACATGTAACTAAGTACAGTGAAAAGCTTTATTTGCGAGCAGTACAGGCATATCATAGTAAGGAGGAAATACAGATCAAAGGGTGAAGAGAGACTTGGACAGACTAAGACATATAGGTTACACTGCACAGGAAATGCATGAAGGCAAGATCAACATTAACAAGGTCAGCATTATTTCAAGTTATGGAATCCCTCAGTCTAATAACAGCAAGGAAGAAGCTGTTCCTGAACCTGTTGGTGCATGTGTTCAAAACCCTGGTTCGGCCACATCTGGAGTATTGTGCCCAGTTCTGGTCGCCTCATTACAGAAAAGATGTGGAAGCGTTGGAAAAGGTGCGGAGGAGATTTACCAGGATGTTGCCTGAAATGGAGGGAAAGTCTTATGAGGAAAGGCTGAGAGAGCTAGGGCTTTTCTCTTTAGAATGATGAAGGATGAGAGGTGACTTGATAGAGGTGTACAAAATGATCAGAGGTATAGATAGAATGGTCAGCCAGAGACTTTTTCCTAGGGTGGAGGTAGCTATTATGAGGGGGCATAGTTTTAAAATGAGTGGAGGTAGGTATAGGGTAGACTTCAGAGGTAGGTTCTTTACTCAGAGAGTGGTAGGTGCGTGAAATGCATTGCCGGAGAGGGTAGTGGAGTCGGCCTCATTAGGGGCATTTAAGCGGCTATTAGATAGGCATATGGGTGATAGTATAAGGTAGCGGTGGAGATTAGATAGACCTTAGGTTTAGGGTAAAAGTTCGGCACAACATTGTGGGCCGAAGGGCCTGTACTGTGCTGTACTGTTCTATGTTCTTTGTTCTGTGTCTTCTGCCTGATGGAAGAGGTTGTAGGAGAGCATTACCGGGGTGGGATGGGTCTTTGATGATGTTGGCCGCCTTTCCGCAGCAGCGAGCCGTGTAAATGGAGTCCATGGATGGAAGGTTGGCTTCTGTGATGGTCTGGGCTGTGCACACCACCTTCTGTAGTTTCTCACGGTCCTGGGCAGAGCAGTTGCCGTACTAGGCCATTATGCACCCGGACAGTTTGCTTTCAATGGGGCATCTGTAGAAGTTGGTGAGGGACCTTATGGACAGGTCAAATTTCCTGAGCTGCCTGAGGAAGAAGAGGCGTCGTTGTACCCTCTTGACTGTCACATTTACGTGGGAAGACCAGGACAGTTTGTCAGTTATCGTCACTCCGAGGAACTTGATCCTCTTCACCCTCTCGGCCTCAGTTCCATTGATGTAGATGGGGGTGAGTTCTCCTCCTTTTTTACTGAAATCAATGATTATTTCTTTAGTTTTACCAAAATGGAGAGACAGATTGTTTTCATTGCATCACACCACCAAGCCCTTTATCTTCTGACTCATCGTTGTTTGATATCCGCCCTACCACAGTGGTGTCATCAGCAAACTTGTAGATGGCATTTGTTCGGAATTTGTCAACACAGTTGTGGGTGTACAGGGAGTACAGCCGGGGGCTGAGGACTCATCCTTGGGGGGCTCTGGTACTGAATGTTATCGTGGAGGAGGTGCCGTTGTCTACCTTCACTGACTGCAGTCTGTGGGTCAGAAAGCTGAGGATCCAGTTGCACAGGGTGGAGCTGAGACCAAGGTCTCGCAGTTTTGAGATCAGTCTGGAGGGGATTTTGATGTTGAAGGCGGATCTGGCGTCAATGAACAGGAGACTGATGTCGGTGTCCTTGTTATTCAGATGTTGCAGGGATGAGTGCAGGGCTAGGGAAATGGCATCCACTGTGGACCTGTTGTGTCAGTAGGTAAATTATAGGGGATCGAGGCAGGTTGGGAGACTGGAGTTGATGTGGACCATGACCAGCCTCTTGAAGCACTTCATGTTTATTGAAGTCAGAGCCACTGGGCAGTAGTCATTAAGGCACATAGCATGTGCTTCTTAGATACGGGGATGATGGTGGTCTTCTTGAAGCAGGTGGGGACTTTGGCCTGTAGGAGGGGGAGGTTGAAGATGTCGGTGAATACCTCCACCAGCTGTACAGGATCTAAGTGCATGGCCGGGCACTCTGTCTGGGCCCGTTGCTTTCCTTGGGTTGACTCCCTCTCCAATGCAATTATGTCCTGATAGTGTGGTGACCAGAACTGCACACAGTATACAATCTGTGGCCTAACCAATGTTTTATAAAGTTGTAACAAGACTTCCTTACTCCTGTGTTCTATGACTCTGGCTAATGAAGGCAAACATCCCGTATTGCCTTCTTCACCACCCTGTCTCCCTGTGCGGAAAATTTTAGGGATTTATGGATTTGTGTCTGACTGACTCACTTGGCAATCCTTACTCCTGGGATGGTATTGCCCTCACTCATTTGGAAAATAGAGGATCAGCGTGCATGATAGTGAGAAATACCCAGTGAGTAGTTGGAAAGCTGAACTTTACTTCCAACTGTTCTGTTGTTACTGTGGGTTGGAAAAGACAGAACATTAATATCAAACATTCACAAATTTAACTGGAGCTGCCAAGATTCAGAAAAATTGATAACAACTCTGAGATTAATGTCACCAAAAAGGGGGAGATTGTGATAGCAAGACTGGAGCAGGTACTTTCATTCAACTTTAGATGTATTCTTTTTAAGTGTGGGTCTGATGGCCTTCTCCCTGATGGTGGTGGGGTAGGTGATAAGAAAGGGAAATGATTGGGTGATTTGGCCCAGAATGATACTTGCTCTATTTTTACCACCTCAGCCATTACATTCTGAGTGAGAAACTTCTAACCCCACAGGGTGGCTCAGTGGCTCAGTGGTTAGCACTGCTGCCTCACAGCACCAGGGGCCTGGGTTCAATTCCACCCTCAGGCAACTGTCTGTTTGGAGTTTGCACATTCTCCCTGTGTCTGCATGGGTTTGCTCTGGTTTCCTCCCACAGTCCAAAGATGTGTCAGGCTAGGTGGATTGGCCATGCTAAATTGCCCATAGTATCAGGGATGTGTAGATTAGGTGGGTTATAGGGGGATGGGTCAGGGTGGGATGCTCCAAGAGTCAGTGTGGCTTTGTTGGGCCAAAGGGCCTGTTTCCACACTGTAGGGATGCTATGAACACTGATGAAGGTCAATTAATGGACCTCAATGGCCTGATGATCTGTTTTTCTGCTTGGCAAGAAAAGTGACCAGTTCTGAAGTTCTGGACTCTAGACATTAACTCTGTTTCTCTCTCACCACAGGTGCTGCCAGACCTGCTGAGTTTTTCCAGCAATTTCAGCTTTTATTTCAGAAAAGTCACTGGTTTCCTGACAGGGCTGCTTGCCAATTTGATGGGGGGGTGGGGTGCTCCATTTGCTCCAATCTGGGACCATTTGGAAGCAGGGATGGGTTAAAGGAGTGGCTACTAAAAGTCAACTCTCCCCTCCCCACACAATTACCTCTGACCTCCCTCAACCTCCTATTCCCCCAACTCACGACCCCTCCCCTCTCAAAAGGAAAGCATTTACCACCTTGCTGTTTAAACCCTGAAATTCTAGACATCAGGAATGACCTCTAGGACCCAGAAACTGTCAGCTTCTGATTGGCTGGCAGCTTCTAGCAGGGCAGGACCTCAGTATCAAGCTTGTGATTCACCAGGAAGCTCAGTGATCACCTCAGATTGCAGCTGGATCTGGTGTGTTTATGTGGTGTGAAGGGCAGGGAGTCAGGCTCCCTTGGACATACATGGCCTCACACATTGTGCTCAAAACACTAAATCTCAGCCACTGTGCCATCTTCCTTCTGAAGATTTTAATTCATAGTTTATTGGAACCCCTTCTCTTAACTTCAACAATGTATCATGGGTGTGTCAGTGTGGTCAGTCCGAGGGATGATGCCACCTCTCACTGTTGCCCTGCCCTTAGCTGCCATCCGCACTCTGCCTATCACAGCCAATAATCATCAAATAATTGTCAGGCCTCAGTGTCCTGCCTTGACTTCTGTGGTGCAGGGTGATCGCACCTTCGCCAACCACTGCTCCAGCTGTCTCCAGTTAAGGAATGAAACCTGGGAGCACAGAGAGAGTGCAGAGGAAACCTATTGGAATGGAGCCAGCAAAGAGGGACCTGTGCTGTTTGGAAAGTCTGGAGAATCTGGGATTTTGAAGCAGTGAAAGTAAGAAGAAGATTAAATGGAGGTGCTCAAAATAATGGAGATTTTGATTGTGAGGAGAGGAAGAAGCTGTTTCTCTTGGCTGGATGAGTAATAACTGCTGGCCTTGCTAACACCAACATCCCACAAACAAATAAGAAAATATTGATAATCAGAGAGTACCAATTTAAGGGTCATTGGGAAAGGACCTGAAGGAGAAAGGAGAATGTTTCATTTTAAAGACAGTGAGTTGTCATCTGGGATGTGCTGCCTGAATGAGCAGTGACAGCAGATGCAACAAGAAGTTTTAACAGGGAACTGGATAAATATTAGGGTGTGGGCCAATGTGGGTGTGGGCTGATGGGGTTGTGGGATTATTTGGACAACTCTTTTGGAAGGCTAGCATAAACAGGATGCTCTGAATGGCCTCCTGCTGCTCTGGACCATCCTATGACTCTATGAGCAGGACACATGGTGTTTATACTGAGCTGCAGGTGATGGGATCAATAACTTTTTCCTCTTTTTCAATTACCCACCCGCACCAACTTTTAGGTTTTAAGCCATGATGGTGGAATCTGCATCAGAGGCAATACGAAGCACTTCAGCCAATCAAAATGGAATTAGCAGTTTAAGCAGCCAATCAGATGGTGGAGGGCGAGAAGGTGGCTCAAATGGGGATGCAAATGGAGAAGTCAGTCCTGTGGATCTGTTACACCTTCAACAACAGCAGGTGCAGGTTGGTTCTGGCTGGTTTCTGTTATTAATCTGTGTACATCGGAGGTAAAGCAATGAAACACGTTGGATAAAAAGACAACCTGGTCTCCCAAGGTCAGCTATATCCTTTATCAAAGGGTGTATGTTCAACAAAGCTGACTTAGCCTGAGCACCAAGTCAGACCACACCCAACAGTCCATTCACTGTGTGATGATTGCCCTGCATTTAGCCAACTCTGGACCATGACAGAACACCTTGGTAGGACAGCTTGGAGTGTTGTGGGATCGAAAATAATAAGATAATTGTACAGATATGACAGAAATATTTCTTCTGTCCCGCACGTCTGAATCTTTCATTCAAGTTGGAATGAATTTAGAAAGAATTCACCATGGTGTTCTTTACATTATGATTGGTTGACTGGGCAGTGCAGTTGTGTGAGCTGGTGTTTGTTTTGTGATCAGGTCCCTACGGTTTTGGAGTAGATTCGTAGCTCGGGTTGTGGGTGTTGAAGTTGGTTGGCTTGCCGAGCTGGTTTGTTGTTTTGCAGACGTTTCGTTACCATGCTGGGTAACATCCTCAGTGCAGCCTCCAATGAAGCGTCGGTGTGTTTTTAAACTCTGGGGTCCGTTGAGATGGATTGCCTCACTTCCGGTTTTCCTCTGGTTCACCGCCAATTCGACTGGGACAACACCAAAATCCTGGGACAAGCTAAGCAGAGACAGGCACGGGAATTCCTAGAAGCATGGCACTCCACGAAGCATGGTATTAATAAACACATTGAACTCGACCCCATATGAATTCAACTACGAAGGAAACCCGGAAGTGAGGCAATCCATCTCAACGGACCCCAGAGTTTAAAAACCAGGTGGGAAAACACACCGACGCTTCATCGGAGGCTGCACTGAGGATGTTACCAAGCATGGTAACGCAATGTCTGTGGAACAACAAACCAGCTCGGCGAGCCAACCAACCTCAACAGATCAGGTCATAACTTCCAGACAAAACCAAAATCATTGTCACTGGGACATTAGCGATATTCACCCCATCAGTCAGACCTGAGCTGAGACCTGGTGGTTTACGATTAATATTCTAATCCACTCCAACAAGTTTTTTCAGAAATACATGACTCCAAATGTGCCCCGAGGATTCTGACACAAAAGCTGCTCAAGAATTCTAGCAGGGATATTAGCCTTATTTCTGTGTCCCTACCTGTGTAATTTCCACACAAATTTCTGAGATTTCTGAGGCCTCTAGTACATTCCCAGTGATACATACCCCACTACTGGTGGCCATGCCTTTAGGTGCTTTAGCTGCAAGGTTTATAGTTGCCCCTTTTAATCATGTCCTCCTCTCAATGTTACATTCCTCCTTTAAAATGCCTCCTAAAACCAAATGTTTGATCACCTGATCTAATATCTCCTTATGCAGCTCAATGTCAAATCATTTAATACTGTTCCTGTGAAGTGCCTTGGGATATTTCATTATGTAAACATAAACTTTGTATTGTTTTTGTTTATCACTGATCGTTTCCCTTCAAGCAAGAGTTTCCTTTTCTTCAGTCTGAGACCTCCATGCTGATCAAATGGTGCATGTGCTAAATGCAACAGAGTGTTCATTGTTTCCAAAGAACAGACATTATATGCTCTTCCTTGTGACACATATTGGTGGTTCCTTTCATTTTGACTGCATTTTGTCTGAAAATATTTATTTTTTCACCCATCACCTATCCCTTCCTGCTGTCAGGATCTTGTACAGTCAGAACTGGAGCTGATTGATCTTAATCTTGGATTTCATCCAATAAAATTTGCTAAAGTTTAGATTTCACCTGAGCACAAACCCCTGACTCGTACATTTCCTCTTATTTATCTTGAACGCGAGCCAGGAGTAAAACTTTTGAGTGGTGCTTGCAAATCTGGTCCAACGAGTCTGAACCAGCCACGTACAGATCGGGACTGTGCCTTCTTCACTCTTAAGTCTATTTCGCAGATTATAGGAGAAGGATAAAGGAGGAAAGGCTGTGTGTAATGGAGCAGGGAAGGAACATCCTTCAAGGTCCCTTCAGCTAGACATCGGAAATTAGCTGAAGCTCAACTCAAGGTGTGGACTCTTTCCTAAGTGTGAATATTACCCAGGCAATTGCTAGTATTTGATGACAGAGAGGTGCTGCAAGGGACAAGTGTTTGTGGGGTACACTGCTATCTTATCAAATTGACTGAGTTGGTTGTGAAGAACACCAAAATCCCAGAGTGTCTCATGCTCAAAAGCCAAGGGCTTTCACTGATATTGTGCTTTTTACAAGCTCAGCATGTTCTATGGACGCTGCACCAATTTCTTTTAAGAGGTTATAATGTTAGACATGGGAGCAATTTGCAACACCTGTGTATCATCCGTTTTACTGCCTTTATTGAGAGACTTAGTGGGAGAACTTTTCTGATTTTCCAATGTCATGTAACCTTCCACATTAGAGGCTAGGTGGGGCCTTGGTTTAACATCTTGTCTGAAAGGCAGCATTTTTAACGCTGCAGCACTCCTTCAGTACTGCATTTGGATTACAAATCCCAAATTGGTAGAGTGGGGCTTGAACCCATGACTTCTGACTCAGAGGCAAAAGTTGCTAGCCCCGAGCTATGCTGAGAGTTTGTATGCACAGGGTTAAGTAGAAAAGTTTGAGTTTTTATTCATCCATGGGATGTAGACAGTGCTGGCTGGAGCGTTATTTATTGGTCAGTCCTAGTTGCCTTGTAGTAGGTGGTGGAAAGGTACCTTCTTGCACACCCACAATGCTGTGAATGAGGGTGTCCCAGGATTTTAGGTGCTGATGGGAGATGGAAAAGGGCATCTCAGAGAGGTGTGTAAACCTTGACCAAATCTGTTTGTTGCAGGCTTCTGCCAAAGGTTTGAGTATTCTGTTAGGAGCAGAAGGAAGCCATTATGCCTGTCAAACCTGTTCCACCTGAATGGGATCTTGGCCACTCTTTGTCCCACATCCCTTAATGTCTTAGGATCATACTACTCTAACAATCCTAGATTTAACATGAACCAATAATCTGGCATTAATTGCCATGTGTGGTACAGAATTGTAAATATTTACAGCATTTTCCTACTTTCACTCTGAGTCTGATTTTTAGATCCTATTTTTTGTTTCTCCAATGAGTGAAAACACCTTTCTTCTACCTACCGTCTCTGATCGCAGTGCTATCTTTTCCTGTATAAATGGGAATCGCTAGCTTGGAATCCTTATTGACACAGAGCTCGTTCCTCATCTGCTAACAGGTTCGCCCATTGGAGAAGGGTGACAGTGATCCCATCCACTGGCCAGACAATCATGGGAAACTGTGGACTCCCAACTTCAACAATTACTTGCCTGCAATTTGGTTCCCTGTCCTCTTAAGCAATGATGACCTACCCCCAAGAAAAGTTAGTCAAATTAAAGGGTAAGTAGCTTGGTGTCAGTAGTGCCCCAGGGAAGCGTGACACCATCCAAGTCATTATACCACATTGGCACTGCATCACAAGCGTCCACTCCCTCCACCACCAACGCTCAGTAGCAGCTGTGTGTACTATCTACAAGATGCACTGCAGAAATTGACCAAAGATTCTTAGACAGCACCTTCCAAACCCACGACCACTTCCATCTAGAAGAACAAGGGCAGCAGATAATTGGTTTCACCACTACCTGCAAGTTCCCCTCCAAGGCACTCAACATCCTGAGTTGGAAATATATCGCCGTCCCTTCACTGTGGCTGGGTCAAAATCCTGGAATTCCCTCCCTAAGGGCATTGTGGGTCAACTATGGCACATGGACTGCAGCAGTTCAAGAAGGCAGCTCACCCCCACCTTCTCAAGGGGCAATTAGGGATGGGCAATAAATGCTGGCCCAGCTAGTGACGCCCACTTTGCAAGAATGAATTCAAAGAAAAATTGGTTGAATCAGCCAGATTACCTTTAATGTGTCACGTGCTGGTGACATCAGAAATAGGAAGAGAACCTTGTTGACTTTGTGGCTAAAGAGCTGGTGCAGGAGGGAGAGCTTCAGCTGTTTGAATCCTTGGGATCTCTTATAGGACAGGTGCGACCTGTATAAAAAAGATGGGTTTCACCTAAACTGGAGGGGCACCAATATCCTTTTAGGGAGGTTTGCTAGTGTCACTTAGGATTGTTTCAGCTTTTGATGCAGGGAGGCAGGAACCAGAGTAGTAGGTCAGCATGTGAAGTGATTCAGGTTAAGTCAAACAAGTCTAATGGGAGGAACAGGCAGGGCCAGGTCAATGAGGAAAGCAGAACGAGTGTATTTATTTTAATGCAAGGAGTATAACAGGTAAAACAGATGAGCTCAGAACCTGGATTAGTGCCTGGGGCTACGCTGTTGTAATCATTATAGAAACTTGGTTGAGAGAAGGGCAGGACTGGCAGCTCAATGTTCCTAGGTTTAGATGTTTCAGGTCTGATAGAGGGGGATATAAAAGGGGTGAGGAGTTGTGTTACCGATTAAAGAGAATGTCACATTTGCACTGAGAGGATATCTTGGAGGGCTTATCCAGTGATGTCTTATGGGTAGAGCTCAGGAATAAGAAAGATGCAATCGCTTTGATGGGGTTATGCTTTAGGCCTCCCAATGGCCAGTGAGAGATAAAGGAACAGATATGTAAGCAGATCATAGAAAGATGAGGGGGTCACAGTGGCACAGTGGTTAGCACTATTGCCTCACAGCGCCAGGGACCCAGGTTTGATTCCAGCCTCAAATGACTGTGTGGAGTTTGCACAGTCTCCCAGTGTCTTTTTGAGTTTCCTCCGGATACTCCGATTTCCTCCCACAGTCCAAAGATGTGTGGATTAGGCAGATTGGCCATGTTGAAGTTGCTCCATAGTGTCAAGAGATATAGAGGATAGATGGGTTAGCCATGGTAGATGCCAGGTTATGGAGACAGGATGGGGAGTGGGTTTGAGTGTGATACTCTTCAGATGGTCAGTGAATAGCCTCTACGTGCACTGTAGGAATTCTATGTAAAAACAACAGGGTTT